TTTCAAATAATTGCTTCGAGTTATTTTCGTACATAAAATATTGCAGGGGATGCAAATAGTGAAATATATTATACTAATTTCTATTATAAACCTTCTGTTTCCAATCTACATAACATTCACACGAGTACAGTAACGTTATTGCTTTAGCTACATTGTTGTCTAAATTTTTAATTGTACAACGTAAATATTTTCATGTACACGCGGCAATGAAAAATTTGTAACGCGTTATGAAGCTTATCTACGTTGTAGTTCTAGCGAAGAATATTGTCTCGGTTGCAGGAAATGGGTAGAGACTGTAGTTGGAGATATTTAGGGTCCGTTACGACATCGCTTTTTGTAGATGTGTGCCGGCACAATGTGGTTCTAGCTGCCTGCTACATTGTGAGAAAAGGGCTTTCGTTAGGGAAGCCCAACCGTCGTTTTCTACATTTCTTTGAACGCGGTTGCCACGGGCGGTAGATGTCTTCGAGTGACCGTTGGAATTAAAAGAAAATATAGCTCTGTGTTTTCAAATTTTAATCTCGTACGGTCCCTTCCGTCGAAACCGTTCCCTTTGATTAATTTCTACCATATTTCACAATGAAGCACAGCAATGTGGAAACGGTTGAAAGTAAAACTTCTTGTGCTAGATATGAATTTTTGTGGAGAAAATTATTTCGTAGGGAAAATTTGTTGCTGTGCAATTTACAAATACGTGTATCAAAGAGAGAAATTTTTCGAAGATAGATTTAATATTTTACAATGTTTGTAATGGTTGCTTTTTATTAAAATTTGAAGTTACGTGTTAGTATAGTTTATTGTAAATTTTTTCATTTTCAATTAATTTTTAGAAGTAATAATTTACTTAATTTTTACTAAATTGTTGACCCTTTCTATTTGAAGGACGACTGAGAAGCGATCACTATTGTTTACCACTTGGTGAATATTAATTTGGCGACTAAGATTGTGATCTGCAAATTTTTTTTCAAACAAAATTATTTATAAAAATTGAAAAAATAAGTATTTTCGATTAAGATAAGCACTATTCGAATTAATACTCTTTTGCCGTATTTCTGGCAATTATTCAGTCTCTCGGCGACAGAATTCTAGAAAACCAGTTTTTTCAGTTTTTAATTTAACAAATTTTCGGTGGAATTTCAAAGATTTGCGTTTTCGTTACAAAAATCCTCTCGGCTTTTTATTCAAGTGTTTCCTGAAAATCACTGACCCCAAAAATATTAATATTCATACTTGTTTCAAATAAATTTCATCAATTTTATTTAACAAACAATCTCGAATCAGCTGCTTCCCTGTAGCAAAAAGATTCTTC